TTTTATTGTTATAATTAATTGTATTGGTAAATATTAAATTTGGAAACTATAAATAATGATAGTGATTTTGTATTAAAAGGAAAACGTATAGGTAGGTTTAGAATGTGATCATTAGATTTAATCTAATGGTTATTATAAAAAGTGCGGAAGAATTTTCTTACTCCATGGGGAGCAAGAGATCACTACTCTATATATATATATATATATATACAATTTTAATTTTAAAAAGTAGTAATCTTGCAATTGATGATGCATTGGTGCCCATACATACCTCATAGGCTTCAGAGATCTGTTTAAGCCACTTCGTGGCCAGCTTTCTGTAAGCTTCCTTTAAGTCATCATCTTTGGCCTTCCTATCCACCCCCAATATCTTATAATAATCCACTCCCATATCTTCCTCTCTTCTCTTCACTTTGCTACTGTAGAATCTAAAATTAAAAGAAATAATACAACAGATAAAATAAATAAATAAATAAAAAATAAGTAACAAGAATTAGTTAGAGAAAAAATAAAAACTTATATTGTTTGATGATCTTTATTAAAAGTATATTGTTTGATGATCTTTATTAAAAATTTAGGCCTTTATTTATATATTAAAAAAATGATAGAATTATAGTAAAAGTCGTTTTACTTGTCTTCTAATTAATTCTTTATACAATGTTTTACCAATTAAGCTACTACCTTTTTCAATTATCTTTATATCAGATTTTTTTTTATTTTTTTAAATTTTACTTTAATGTAGGATCCTTTGCATAGTAAGACTCAATTACTCCCAAATAATTTGGGCTGAATACGTCCTGGGCCGGCTGAGCGTGATTAATGGATTGGAAGTCTAGCGCCAGTGATCCAAGGTTAAAGGAAGACTTAATTTGAGCTCTACCAGGATTGGGCTTCCGACTCAATTACTCCCAAATAGTTTGGGCTGAATACGTCCTGGGCCAGCTGAGCGTGATTAATGGATTGGAAGTCTAGTGCCAGTGATCCAAGGTTAAAGGAAGACTTAATTTGAGCTCTATCCGGATTGGGCTTCCGAATCGAAAGTATATATTTGCATTGTGACGTGAACAACACTTACTGCAGGAGAATTTTTCCATATTTTACAATACTTTTACTTATTCCAAGTTATGAATTGTTTTTTCTAACCATGCTTATCAGATTGGGTGTGTGGACGAGGTTTTGGCCTTAGAGTCCTGCTTGAGAGTTGTGGTAGGACTTTTAGAGAGAGAGAGAAGAATGAAGAAGAGAGGAGAGCTGTCTGGAAATCAAGACGAGAAGTACGTAGAAGGTTCCAGAACTAGCTTTCAACTGACCTGCATCAATATTCATTCTGACAGTTGGCAACAATTATAGCTCCACCTCTGTACTTTTAGGAAAACTACTATTTTTACCATAAAACAAACAGTAAAAGTTTAGATCCACTTATAGCTTTAGATCCATAAAACCCAGACCAGGCCCACAACAGGATCATGATCATGGCCACGTACATTTTGTGATCCACCTCTATCTGGTGCCCTTTATATTAACAATTTCACACACTATATCCGCGTTATTACATTGTGCAATTTATTGGGAAAAAAAAATTCAATTGGGCCCCTCCAAAATTTTTCAAAACATTTTTTTGGCAAAAAATAAATAGATAAATAAAAATAGTTAGCTTGGAACATATTTTAATTATAATTTTCAAAATTAAATTTTAACTTGAATCGTTTTAGCCTTTAATAATATTCATATGCGAGTATTTGAAGCTAGGAAGAAGGGAAAATTGAAGTGCTATTATACAAAAATGACAAAAATGTCAATAACAACAAATAATATTATATAAGCTAATATTTTTAGGTGTCACTGGTTAAATAAAAAATTCAATAATTACTCCTTATATAATTTATTAAAGTATTTTATATTTTGTTCCTAATACTACTGTTTTATAAAAATGTGCGGAGTTTTGTTTAAAATGATACTTTTTATCATTAGTCTCTCATCAAGTTAATAATTAAATATCTTTCTCAAACTGTAATCGAAGTACTTTTATTTTGTTCTTTCAAAATTTGAATTTTTAGAAAATTGAAACATTTACCCGAGAAAAATTAAAATTTTAATTAAGAATAGTTTCGCTTTACAACTTCACTTATTACATATAACTTATCATTTTTTCTTCTCTATGTATTTTCTTTTTCTATATCAAATTTTCATCTCTTTTTATTTCAATTGCAATTTTCTAATTTTTGAATTATATTTCCCTCTGTGCATATACCAAGACTAATATTGGAAGAAAAATTATATTACAATTGATTTATACTGTTTTCAAATTTTAGTTACACAACTTTAATTTGGCCCCCCAATTCAAAATCCCTGGCTCCCCGTGCAAGTAAGAGAATGCATCATTGCTGTGTAATACTCGTAATTGGAAGAGTATGAGGGTAAGGGTGTGAATATATTAAAATATATTTTATTTAATTATATCTATTAGATCGAGAATTGAGCAGCCCATTAAACAAGTAAAAATAACAATTTCATCTATTACGTTTGTCTAGATTAAAGTAGTATAGTTTATTGACGATCATTTCGCACGCAATCGTTTTAATTATATTTTAACGAATCCAAGCAAAGCGATCCACACAAATCGGATAAGGCTCAAATTATGTTCGCGGTCGTAACTCTTATAATGCTCCATTCGGTAGGAAGGAAAAAAATTGAGTGTTAAGGAGAAAAAAAAAAAGATGATTGAGACAATCCTAAGGAGAAATGGGGTTTCTCTCTTTTTGTTCGGTTAGATGGGAAAGAATAAAAAAAACTAACAATTTAATTTGATCAAACAAAAGGAAAGATAAAGTTTTAAATTATTTTTACCATTAAAACCATCCCTTACTTTATTTATGGGATTTATTAAATATTTATGAAGAGTAATGTAGTAATTTAAAATTTCTATAATAGACTAACTTGGTGCAGATAAAAATTTGTAAAAGATGACTCATCCTTTCTATTATCCTTTTTTTTCCTTATATCACTATTTTAGTCGGGCAAATTTCTTAATACTCTGATTACTTAAAATATATATATATATATAACTGACTTGACACTGAGGATTGAAATTTAGGTGGGTAATTTTTATATATAATGCTATTTACTGTTGGAGAAAATTTTTTGTTAAAAGTTCAGTTTGAATTTGCTATTATTAGTAGTTGATTTTTATTGCAAAAAATAAAAATAAAAAATAAAATAAAATAAAAAATCAATGGGTGTCCAAATCGTTGACTCTTTCTCATCGTGGAGTGGACCCCTTAATTTAGACATGGTAAATTCGTTATGGCATCCAAGTATCTATCTCCCATCTCGTAACTCATGGAGTCATGGGAACCCCAAAAGTCTCTGCATGGACTTAATGCGTGGAATTATACTTGTCATCCCAACAAATACCTAAATACAACACCATACAACAATTTCCACCTCTAAGAATTTTCAACACTCTTTTGATTCATTTCAATTGTAGGGTGCTGTCACATGCTCCACGTCTCCATTCACATAAAACCGATTTATCAATTCGAATTAGGAAGATGTATATTTTTCCACAATTTATCAATTCAAATTAAGAGGATGTATCTTTTTCTAATCAGATTTGATATGATCCTAACACCTAATTTCAGAACAAATCATACATTAATCAAATATTCAGACTTTTGATATAGAGTCCATGTTTTGTATCTAACATTGTGTTCTTCTGTGTATCGCTCACTGAATGCCGTAGATAGATGAGAGAATAGCCTTGGACGGTACTGAGGATTAAGCGTCTTGTTGTATGGAGATCAACTAAGAGAGTTTGGATGAAGAATAGTGATTAGACTTAGGTTTTAAGTACATCTCTTTCTTCATATTTAGTAGATTGATTTAGCAGCTGGTTAGGTTTGGTGATCTTTCCACGTTAACATCTGGTGTGCATGATCGTGGATTATCTTACTTTTATTAATGCACTTTAAATTACTTATTATTATTATTGCATGATTGATGATGTACTCAGAAGCATAAGATATTCCATGATATCAATTATTCACAAGCAATCACATAATTTGGCGCACGTGTTTGGGTTTGTTTAAGTCAATCCATATGGTTTTTGAATATCCACATTAGTGGAACCTAAGTTACATAATTCTTTTCAACATTTGCCGTTGATTTGGCAAATGCGTTCGTTCTCACTCCTGTTCCCACTATTTGTAATGTTTCTAGGCCATGTGATGTCCACTGGGTTGTTGCTGAGTAAAGATGATACATTTTCCAATGCTCGTTGATCATCCAGCCTTGTCTAGGTGAGAATTAGAGAATACCTTATAAAGGGGCCCACAGTTGTCAAAGAAAATCATTGTTGATGGTGCGGTTAATCATTGGTTGTGGTAGGTGCCTGGTTTGGAGTAATTTTCTCCAAAACCATAAGCAGTCACTTAGTATTGGAATTTTCCAAATGCTTGATCAAGTTCACTAGTTGTGTCCATTCCTTCCTCAGAATAATATGGATGATGCCTTATTCCACAGCTGAATATCATGAATGCCCAGTCCTCCTGCATGCTTGAGACTGCATACCTACCTGTTCCCATTCAATCTTTGCTCTATATTTTGCCATAGCATTACCTGCCCACAAGAATCTCTACATGATTTGATTCATTTTGTCACAAACTTTTGCCGGTACGATGAGCAAATTGGTCCACTAAATATGCATACTAAAGAGAGTGGCTTGGATCAGTTGCGATCTTCCAGCAAAACAAAGAGCTCTAGCTGTCCAACTTGTAATTCTGCTATTCACATCAACCGTAAACTAGTTGGTATCAAAAGAATACCACACTATCAGAGTCGAACATCCCCAGTACTTTCAGCACCACAAGACGTGAAGAAAATTACAGAAGGACCTCAAACTACTCCCCTCGCCTACCCAAATGTTAAAAACTTAAAATTCAAGAGAATAAAAACACACACACACACACACAGTGGGGTCATCTTTTAAGGAGACACGAGCATGCATGAGAACACACACATTATGTGCTACTAAGAAGGCAGTTTAAGACCCAAGGACAAATTTACAAACAACTTCTATCCGTGTCATAAATACAAGAATCTCTCTTTCCAAAATAATACTCTTAATTGAAGGGTAGCTTTTTATAAATCTATAAGGGCCTTTCAGCTTCCAATCTCAACATCCTCGGTTTTTTCACCTTTCATAGAGTGAATGTGAAGATGCCTTGTAAAGCTGGAAGTTGTGTCCAAGAAGTACAGCACAAATGACATTAAGCAGCAACAAACGAACATGGGAATCGGCCCGAAAATCCAGAGGAAGAGAGGGAATGACAAGTAAAATGCTCGCAGTCCAAGTGACCAAAACAAGCTACCCCTGTTCAAGTTTCTCGCAACATACTCGATAGATTCTCTTTTATCTTGTAATGTGGGCAAGGTAGCCAAGAAGCTAACATGGGCATAGTACCTAATAGACTGCACATTGCAAACAAAGGCGACGAGGAAGCAGAGCAAGATAGTAAAGTACTTGACTGAAGACATGAGGGGAGTTTTGTTGCCGTAAATTAATTCTGATGATGCAGAGGCCGAGTTCGATGTGTTGCTCACGAAAACACCGATCAATGAACTGAGAGTGATTGCTGTTGATGCCAAAAGTGTAGACGCCATTATATTGTTGCGTATAGTTTGAACTGCCAAAACTCCATTTTTTAGTGGATCCTGGAAAAGTACAAGAAGGTTAATTTTCAAAGATTAAGCACAAATGTTATTGTTATAAATGAAACTATAAACTATTTATTTTTCATTGACATATTGAATTTTCCTCACTAGAAAACACAAAAATGATGCTAGAAACTATGAAATGATTAATGAACTTTTCGCACATACATCCAGATTTATGAAAAAGAAAGAAAAACCATATTTTCCTTTTTAAGCTATAACAGATCTGCATGTTCAAAATGAAGATCCACAACCAGCCAAAATTTTCATGGCAATGTAAAGAAATCCAACACCATTCAGATCCTTTTGTTAAGAAAAATAAAATTGAAGAGAGAGATTGAACATGAACAACACAAGAATCTCCCGTCACACAAAGCCCAAATGGCTACTTCTCTTTTATTAAATGCTCTCGTAATTTTGTTTACAATGACCACACCTCTATTTATGGGTGAAAGAATACAAACAGGTGAAAAATATGAGAATTATATTGATGAAGGATTCCTAAAATAGCTCCAATGAATTACTACTATCCATATTGTGTCAAGGCTTACATAGCTACTATGATGATATTCTCCAACACTCCCTCTCAAGTTAGTACACAGAGATATTAATGCAAGTGTCCAACTTGAAATTAAATACAAACTTCTTGGGACAAATTGTTGTTGACTGAACTATAACTACGGTCTGCAAGAGTAAAGAACATGATCCGTAATACTTGATCAGAAAATGTGGCATATCACCAACAATATGCATTTAAGCATACCAAAAATAACTCTGCAGCAATAACGAGATAACAACAATAGATGATAAGATTTGGTGTAAAGGTTCCCTCTGACTAATATGGTCACAAAGGCATAAAATTCGAGCAAGATATTCAAGACGAGGAGATCACAAATTTCAATCAAGACGAGAAGAGCCGAACAAGTCTAGATACAATGACTGAGAGAATGGTGCAAATACTCTTTGTTAGGTCCCAATCAGATGCTTTGATACCATGTTAAGAAAAATAAAATTGAAGAGAGAAATTGAACATGAATATAATGTGGTTCGGCCACTATGGCCTACATCCATGGCACACAAAGCCCAAAGGGCTAATTCTCTATCATTAATCTCTTAATTTTGTTTACAATGATTATTTATAGGTGAAAGAATACAAACATGTGATATGAGAATTATATTAATGCAGGATTCCTAAAATCTCTCCCATGAATCACTTCTATCAATATTCTGTCAAGAGCTTAAATAGCTCCTATAATTATATTCTCTAACACCTTTATTATAAATGACTGAAAAAAAAAAAAAAAAAAAAAAAAAAAAAGAAGAAAATATCCTGTAAGTCATCCGTGATTAGCTATGTTTGTCGTACATAACAGTTGTTTTTAGTGGGCCCCAATTTCACTTTCAGGGGAAAAGGGTCGTGCAAGTATTGATTATTAAGGGGTTCTTCCATGCACATTGGGGTTGAAAGATAGCCTAGAAAGTTGAGGGAATAATTGGATAATTGGTCTATATAGATGATAGATCATTCCTGGTTGAGATCACATGTAAAATGGCATTGCAAGGAATTTCTTTAGTTCTAATGAAGGACGCATTAGGCTTTATTACACAATCAAAGTTTTGACATACAGCAAGAACCAGCTGAGCAATAGATTCATATGGCGAAGCCCAGAAGCAAGAAAGATAACAGACATGATATATCAAGAATTTAAAACGGACAAAAGGTGGTCAAAGAACAAGAAAAACAAGAAAAATGTGTTCGTATGAAAGTGATTTACACAAGGAAAACAGAAATTGAAATTAGCTAAAGAGAGACCATTAGAAGCTGGTGGATGTGATAGAAGAGCTGAATAAATATCTTCTTTAAGAGTCAGGAAAACACAATTGCGTGTATTGTACTTAGAATTTGAATTATTCACCTCCCATCAAATTGATTCTCCACTGTGATATATTACAGAATATCAAGAGCAGGTTCAAAAACAAAAGAACATTAAAATACCGATAATTTCCACATAATGTACACTTGCATATATGACATGCATAAGAGATTTTACATTCTACTATACTTCTCTTTGTGACCCTCAATTTGATAATAAGGTTTCCTGTCACGAAATGATGAATCTGCTGCATTTCATTATGTAATTTCCATAAATTAGAGCAATTTGAAGTTCTCGCTAGTCATAATGAAGCATAACAAGCAATGGAACTATGGGCACAAGACTACTACTTATTTTTAAAATATTTTTTTTTTTTTTTTTTTTGACTCGTGAGAGTGCGCAGAATTCATGTTTTGCTCAAAGAATTAACAAACTTCCTCATGAAACACAGTATTCAAATGAATGAAAATAAGATGGGGCAAAGAAAAGGCACATTCTGTGAAAGAGATAATTCATCATACTAGAAAAACCAGTACTGATCGTTAAAACTGATGTACCTATAAACCAGCACACTTGTATGAATATGTTCTTACTGTTGTGCATCAGTATTAATGTCATACAATCTATGAACATCTTAAATTACCTGCTGCTGCTTCTTGACTATCTCCTTAAATGTTTTTCTCTATTGTTCACACATTCCATTTCCTTTTGTAACGTAGTTATCCATAGACCCTTTTTGACACCACTGATTTTCACAAAATTCATTTCCATTCTGCTTTTTCAATTTAATAAATTAAAGAATTAATCTACATCTTCAGCAACTTCTAAACAACGAGAAGTTGTTTTGAGTTTTGACGATTTAGTGTTCAACCGAGTAACACCATCCTTATATTATTAGCAAAACAATACAATGTATATTCATTCTAGCCTTACTAACATTTTACCATCATCAATGCGAGTACAAAAATTCCACATTGGTTCGTTACTTCTCTTCCCTTTCCTTCTGAAAACCCTTTTTAATTTAGATAATACGGAAATCCAACACACTAAAAAATTATTACAAGTACAATGGCCAGAGCACAAAACCTCCTTAAACCATTACGTTTGCCTCAAAATATTATCTTTGCAATAGTCTCTTATTCGATAGAGCCTAGCATCTTCCCCCATACAAGATAGGTAGACTAGTTACCATTCTATAAATTTTTCCTTCTAACTTATTTAGTATTTTTTTAATCATATAGGATACTACTACTCAATCTCCATTTTCTCCATCCTACTCCAATCTTGGTTTTTTTTTTTTTTTTTGGAAGTTGAAGCAAACAAACGCACAAATTATCCACAATGTGTCCTTGGTGGGAATCAAACTCTCAACCTCCCCGTTAGGGAGGACAGATCATCTATCTCCTCATCGATTTGTAGTATTGATCCTAAGTCTCTAAAATGACTATTTTGAGAAATTCTTCGAGGGTGTGTTCGGCTGCATGGAATTGGAGCCTTGGAATTGGAATTAGTGGAATTTGAGAAAAAACAACTAAGAAAATTGAAAGTTGTTTTTTCTCAAATTCCACTAATTCCAATTTCAAGGCTCCAATTCCATGCAGCCGAACACACCCTGATTTTTAATTGTTATTGTTCTGTTATCACTAGCCAAGACTTTGTTAAATTTACATTCCATTATTTTTTTTTTAAAATCTTACTCATTCTTAATTCATTCTGTTTCTAATGAATTTATCCATGTTAACTACAATCTACTCCAAAAGCTAAAGCTGTTAGAGAGGGCGTAACTTAAATATATAAGAATTGATCTTGGTGCAGTCCCGCCTTTATAAGAAACTCATTAGTTTCTCCAGATATTGTATCTATCTACGACTATACCTACCCCAGTTTTATGACTAAGAACTGATCTTGGTGCAGCCCCGCCTTTATAAGAAACTCATTAGTTTCCCCAGATATTGTATTTATCTACGACTATACCTACCCCAGTTTTATGACTATCCTTAACATCCAAATAGAAATGTTTGTATCCTTCTCCAATCTCCCAAGCCTTTTCTCCTTTAATTTTGTTTCTTGTAAACATGCTATGTTTATTTTCTTCCTTTTCAATCAATCCATAAGTTCATTACACTTGCCAATTAACCTCCCTATATTCCATGTTAAAAATCTGACTTAATCTGTTTTATTACTTTATTTTTACTATTATACTGAGAATTTATCATTAAGATTTAATTATGTCAAATTTCTCTCTAATTGGAATATGGTAAATCACTGTATCAAGATGAATAAGAATCTGTAAGGCTCTGGTCCAAATTGGGAAGCAAAAAAGGCAAGCTAAATCAAATGACATAATATGGAATAAACACAATCTAAATGAGAATTCAACAGAGAAACACAATCTAAATGAGAATTCAACAGAGTACTCAAAATGCTAAAGGCAATAATAATTCTCAAGGAAAACCCTATCTGGAAGATTAATTAAGGCACGCTAAATCAAATAACATAATAAGGCATAAACACAATCTAAATTAGAAATCAACAAACAATAATTCTCAGAGAAAAACCAATCTAGAGGATTAATTCTTTGTGTACTTAGAAAGAAGAAAAACAATTATAAGTCCAAAATTATGTCCAAGAGGAATTACATATGCATCAACAAAAATTCAGCATAAGCAGTGTATAAACCTATATATATTGTGTATAGATTGCATAGAAGTCAAGATAATTCAAAACAGATCATATATATCAAACCTTCTGTGTATATATGTATGTATATATAGAGGGAAAAAGAAACATAATGATCAGAACAGCAGTTCAGCCTTCAAAGGATGAAATTGCTGAAGATTTTAGGGGATAAAATCAACTGATATCAGTGTCTAAAAGTTTCTTAATTCATCTCCAGTAGCATTACTCTATGTATATAGAGGCCTAGAAACCTCCAATTCAATAAATATGAAAAAATGAAATGATTTTGCTGATGAAGATTACAGATTCAGTCAAGGAAGAAACTTATCATATGGTTCATGGTCATGGTCATTTTGGCCGGTTGATTTTCCAGCATGATTGGTTAATTTGGTTCAAGTTTCAACAATGCTCATTCTTTACATTTCCTCCTAGCTAATTGACCTATCGTAAGTACCATGGATTTCAACCTAAATGGCTACAAATTCAACCAATCCATCTTTGATAATCAAGTAGTGCTAACCTTCTGGAAGTTATACATAAATGTAATGCGCAAATTTCCCTCTAGGCCTGAGTGCTACTAAAGTTTCATCTACAAATGGATAAAACTTTGGTCTTCGTGCATACAAGTTCTTGAAAGTACATTAATAGCAAATTTGTTGCTCTGTCAGGAGGTCCTCATCATTTTATTATTATTTAAAGCAACAACTGGTGATTTCGAAGGCACTTTAATCAATGACTGGTGTAGAGCAGTTCTGGATTCTTAGCCCTATCCGTTGCTGGCTGGTTGCCCCACAGGGACTACTCCTTGCTCTTTGCTTTATTGTTGGATAGGGAAGAATAAGGTTAGATTGTCTCTGGTCAGCGAATCCTACTATTGAGGTTCTTTAATTTGGGGAGAATACAAGATTAAAAGAGTCTGTTTTGTAATCTTCTCAAATCATTGTTAAACGGGCGCTTTTTCAGACCAAAATAAGCGCTTTAATGCATGGACCGTAAGCCCCTATTCCTAACAAGTTGAGGAGTTCAGTCCCTTCCAATATGAGTGTCAGACTTGCATCACATTACCTCCTGGTCAAGGCTCTAGGCTGAGTAACAGTAGCAACTTTTAATTTATTGCATTCATTGCATGTTTGATTGAATGATTAATTAAATTGATTAAGTTATCAACTTGGTAATAACCAAAGTTAAAACCAATCAAAAGAATAATAAATAGACCTGTTCATTCCCCTCTGCGTCTGTTTAACAGAGATAAATTTTATAACCCAGTTCCACAAACACAAAACTCTTAAAAATACCATTACAATCGCAAAAAAGGTGAAGTTGGAGTTATCAGTATTCAAAAATAGTTAGTTGTCTCTTTCATAAACCATATTTGTGTCAGTACTGTTGTTGAGAAAACTTCCCATTATCCTTAAGAATACAACAACAAGAAGTCTTTTTCCCAACTACTTGGGGTTGGTTATATGAATTGCATGACATTCCCATTATCCTACTTAAGAATGGCAAAGAAAAAGTGATATTAGTGGAACATGATACGGTGTCATGGTTGTTGATAGATGTTTGGATGAGTGGTGTATATATATGATTTGTGATAGTTTGTTTGCCTGTTCATGTGTCTGTTATGCATCAATGTCTACAATTACTTTTCTAGTAGGTGGGGTGTTTGGCTGGAGGGTAGTGAGGGATGTTATGTGCCCGCCTGGACAAATATGTGGTGGGAGTGATGGAAAAAAATTGTCAATGTTATAGGAGTGTATAGAATGTGTTTACAGTGTGATGTGTAAATAACTAACAAACACTGTAGTAGCAGTAGGGACTTTTTGGAGTCAAAAGAACAACTTTTTTTTTTATATATATAAGTAAATAATATATTAAAGAGCATTCAAAAGGGGAACGCGTACCACAAAAGCTACAAAAAGGGCCTCTAAACCCTCAAAGAAAACAAAAACTCAACAAACTTCTCTATGGAGAGTTGAAAGAACTACTTAAGGTGGTGTGATGGTGATGATGGAGGTACCAATTTTTGTCTTAGGTCTCCATATCTATAAAGCCAGCCGTAGTTTAAGATCACTAATCTAATACCATGACAATTACTATCTATGAAATTAAACTACACTGCAAGGACTTGGAGCCACACTTTGTACAACAAAAAAAATAAAAATAAAAACAAAAAAAAGGATGACACTTTTCACTACATTTTAAGTGGAAAAACTACAACACTGAACTTATAAAATCAGACCCACCCTTGCAGACCGGTTGACCACAAAGCCATCCCAAATTTCCTTAGCAATATGAAACATGACATTACAACTAGTCACCATAAACTATACTATTTCACAGCCGAGTCATAATAAGGAAATCATTTGATAAGAGTCTTAAAGAATTTCGTTTCTGATATAGTAAATGCATTTGAAATTGTCAGACACAAAACATCGGTACACATCCGTACAAAATTGCACTTCAAATTCCCTACAACAAATTTGGAGATACACAAAGATTCTTATCAGTCATTCATTATAAACATTTTCAAACATTTGGGGATGTCATTTTGTTTGCAGGTCCTCGCTTATTAGATAATGGGTAGCTCAAAAAAGCGAAAAAGGGGGCTTAAGATTCTTTAAATAACATAAATTAAGACTACTAAAATAAAGGAATTTATTAAGTGTCGACAACCAATTGAATTTTGACCAAGAAATGGTTCTACCCCATAATTAGAGCAGAACAAATACATTGTGCGTAAGCATATATATATATAGGGAGAGAGAGAGAGAGAGAGAGAGAGAGAGAGAGATTGGGAAGATACTAACAGACATCATGGAGAAGACCCATTGGTAGCGACTCTCAGAATTGATACCGATGACGGTTCGTCTGGGATAGCGTAGAATGGTGAAGAGAAGCCAAGCGTGGTATATACAAAACACCATCAAACCTAATGGTATCAGTACAAAGTCCAACTTGTATTCCTCCATGTATCCACCGCCACTTTCTACCACTCAATTGCCCCCTCTCTCTCCCCCTCTCCCTCTCTTTTTCAAGGCTCTCTATCTGTCTATGTATGTATATATATTATATAGGCACTCTATCTCTCCATGTATATATATATTATACAAAGCCACCCAACAGATAGGCTGCAGCGAAGCTACATAATGCGCGGAAAGTGGCATAAATAATGCGCGGAGGGTGAGACACTACGACAAATAGACACAAGAGTCAAAACTTTATTACAAGCAACAAACTTTTTTTTCCAGTTTGTTTAACCATACAAACAACTAAACCATATGGAAAGAAAAATATATTCCTTGCAAACGTGGTGATAATATTGAGAAGAAACAAAGACTAAAGATTTATGGAGAGTACTTACGAGAAAATATTCGTGCCCCGGTAAAAATACATCATTTTATTAAATTAGTTCCAATTGTTTTGAAAATTACTCCCAATTTATTTCTATATTGATTTTTATTGACGGAGTATATCAATAACTTGGCATGCTAGCGTATCCAATATTTACACGGTAGACAGGGTGTGCATTGGAAATTAAAATCTTGCAGTTTGTTGATACCGGTTCTTGATAAATTGAGGAGATCGTTCCACGCAGGGGCAGATCCAAGGGGTGGCCATGGCCCCTAATTTTTTGGAAACTTTTTTTAGTATAGATAAAAATAAAAATAATATAGTATGTATGGTATAAAATCTATACTCCCAAAAAAAAAAAAAAAAAATCACTTTCTTCAATTAGCATTTAACAAAACATAATTTATATATAATCTAAACGAAAGTAACTTAATTGACGACTATAAAATCTCGAGAAAAACTGACTCATATAAAAATTTAATGTAACTATCTTAAAATTTCAACTCAAATACAGTTCTTTCCATAATGTAACAATCTTAAAATCCTTCCAACTCAATCACGATTATTTCCATAACCTTATTATCCTAAAATTTCATTTCATATGTGATTCTTTCTGATCACTTTTTTTTTTTTTTTTTCTTTATTCTAGAACAATTGAAGTTTTGAATATCAACAAAAATCGGTGATCAAAGAATCTAAATTCTTAGTTTATTAATTTGTTTGTGTTTTTTTATCATAGTTATAATTTTTATTGATATATTGTGTAATGATTATTAATTTGTGTAAGTATTACATGAATTTCGTATTTTTTTTATAAATTAAAATCTAATTGTTTCATTAAATTTTTTTATAACTTTGGCATAAATGTTATTTGTGTTTGTTCAGAAAGTTTGATAAAAAGCTTGTTTAAATAACTAGTTTTTTTAATTTAAATTAATTGGCAAAAGTTTAGATAGATATATTTTTCTACAAATATAATAAATAGTAAAATATTTTTGCCTACGTAATATATATATTTTTCCCACAAGTTCTAAAGTTGCTTATAATTTTGGCCCGCCCCCCCCCCCCCCCCCCCCCCCCCCCCCCCCCTCAAGGTCCTGGCTCTTCCCCTGGTTCCACGTCTGTCGGGAATGCTGAAATCAGAGGCTAGCACAATGAATTCTCCATAGAGGAGATTGAGAGAGAGAACACCCTATGGTTGCTCGAGTCTAAGAAGACCATTCTTTATGGTTATGGTTGTGGTGGTGTATATGTATTCCAACCCTCTTAAATGATAAGAGTTTAGTCCTATTTATACTACTTTCATTTGGGTAAGTGTGTCTCTCGCAATCGAACGATATCGTGTAGGATAGTTCTACTTAGAGAGGATGTCGAACCCACAGGGAGATGAGATTTGTACTCAGTTTTCAATTTAGTTTTATTGGTTTACAGGTAACTGGTTGGAAAAATTGTTGGTTGTCACGATTTAGCAAACTAAAATTATAATGCAATATTTAAATAGCACAAATTAAACTAATTTAAATGATCAGAGAGAGAGAAAGAGAGTCTTAGGGCTTCAACTTCACCACAACCGTCATATTATGGTTAATTATACTAACTCTGGAATTTAACAATGATATTTTCCAAAAGAATTGAACTCAATAACATTCGTTCAATTCGGGTTTTAAAGAAAGATGTTTACAAGATTAACTAACTATAACCTATCTGTGGTTAGCATGGACTATCCGCCTACCTATTTTAACTATTTTGCGAATGAACCACCTTTTCTAAGCATAGATTATGAAAACTTTCTTTTGTAAAAAACATTAAAGTACCATTATATGACCTCTATTCTTGTGTCCGGCAGGGCTCCGCCAGATACCGTACAACAAGGTAGGTTGGGAATAGAGAACAAACTATTGCATCTAAGACAAGGTAGTAACAGTTTTTAATCTATTAAAGTATGAAAACCACTTGAGTTGTCTCAAGTGCTCATAGTCATATAATCAAGAAAAAAAAAATCATATATTAAAACAATCCCAAAGTTAAAATAATCAAACCATAACAATAAGTTGTGATACCCCTTGATTCTAGAGCCACGGGTGATCAAGTCCAAGCATAGATCCGAATGATACTAGACAATTAATATGTAAACAAGTAGGAATACAAAAAAAAATAATAATAAAATAATAAGTTGGAAAGAATTCTAAATACGGAAAATCCTCCAAAATTATAGATTAATATAATTTAAACTTTCTAATTTGTACAACTCGGAAATCCATCTAGTGGACTCCTAATAATCCCAAATGAAAGTAAAATACAAAACCAAAATCCAAAACTAAAATAAGAATGGAAGTCCTACGTAGTTGGAGGAGTGAGTGACTGTATTTGCTTAGCACAATCAAGCTCTAAGCCTGCAATTGATGAACACCTGGAAAAAAAAATAAAAGTGGGTCAGGCCCACATGCAAGTTCTATCTTATTACAATCCATACAGAAACACAATACGCAGATACATCCTAGATAGCTCGACAATAACTAAAGTAGTCCATATAAATATAAATACACACTATAAGACATTCACGAGACTATAGTGTAGTCTCAGCCTGAATAGAAGGTAACATGCAAATCGCACGTAACGTGGTTATATATGCCTAGACCTACCAAGGAATAACAACTATGTCCAGTTATCCATCCTAGGCGATATACGCACCCTAACCATGATCTTGAGACTCAAGCTCATATCAAGGAACCATAAGCATATATATATAAAAATCCGTTCCAGGTATGTCATTCAAATGTTTATTGACCTGACATAAATATAAGTAGGACTTAACTTTTATAGTTAATCCATTTTATTTCAGAATAGGTAGGACTTAGTGTTTCGAACTAATCCATCCCCAGAATAGGTAGGTCTTAGTGTTTTGAACTAAGCCGTCCGTAATATGCCACCGTCCCATACCGGTGCATATACATATATATAAGTAGGACTTAACTTTTATAGTTAATCCAACTTATTCCAGAATAAGTAAGACATAGTGTTTTGAACTAATCCGTCCCTAGTATGCCACCGTCCCATACCGGTGCATACACACACAACAAATCCAACAATTGACAAAACAAAACAAGCATTTTACCAATTATAATCCAGAACAATATAATGATAACCAAAATCATTACTGAATACATTATAATGAAATTCTTAAACGTAAATTTCATAAAAATTCATAAATCCAACAATTGATGAAATCTAAAAAGTTAAAATATCAATTAACTCCATATAAGCATACTACAGTTTCAGTTAGTCAATTATGCTTATTACTGTACCTAAACATGATTAATACTGTTTAATCATACATAGACAAATTGTTAGAATTATAGTAAGCAATTAAATCCTTCAATCAGTCTATAAATTGATGCAGTTTATAATATATTAAAAACATCAATTTAATCCAATCCAAGCACAGCTATTTTCAAATAATCCCTTGCACTTATAACACTGTTGGAATATGATTAAATATTATTGAATCATATACAAGAGCTTTGCTAAGTTTCAGTAAGCAAATATATTAACAAAACAATATTCCACTTGGAGGCTTTTCTTTCACTTTATGTTGCTCCATTCCTTAATACATTATTGTAATAACGCTTTCCAATATCTTTTATAGGTCCATAACAGCTGTTTACAACATTCAAGAATACTCCAGACAGCCCAAATAAAACCTTAAAAACAGTTTATACGTGTTTCTGGGTGAGAGCAGGCTCTCATAAGTTGAGAGCGTGCTCCAAAACAATGGGAGCCGGCTCACCACCCTTAGGAGCTGGCTCTAAGGAATTGGGAGCCGGCTCCCTCCATGTGGGAGCCAGCTCTTGCTTTGAGGGAGCTAGTTCCCTCTCTCTTTTAAGAGCCCTCGTCTGTTTTTCCTTCGTCTTCTTCGCCTCCAGCGATACTCAGAGCCTCTGTAATGTTTTTATTTCTTATTCTAGGGTTTAATCAATGTCCCAAATAAATTATAAGTCACTGCTATGCATCAACGACATAGATATAAGCAAGTTTACAAACAACAAAAACAGAATTTACGCAAGATCAACTATCAACCACAAAACAGTTTTATTCAATGCTTTCAAATCCAATTCAACCATACTTAATTGATCAGTATTAACTTCAATTTAAACCTTGGAGACTACCTAGGCATGCACAGAACACAGGTTTAAGAAAAGGAGTTAGAATAGGAACTTGCCTTCAGTTTCAGTTTTGAAACCTTAAACCTCTATCACTGATGATTTTGACGACCTTGATTGTTTTCACATACCTCTGCTCCTGGTCCAACCCACGAGCAAACGTCAATTATTCCTCTATTGCTCCTGGTTCAACCCACGAGCAAGCGTCAATTATCCTTCCTTGGTTCAGCCTTTGTCCCTAACCAGACCCTAACTTTCCTCTCTCTGGTTATCTCTCAAAATTCTCTCTGTTAGTGAAACTGAATAGGGTTTTCTTAACCCTAGGAAGACTTATACAATTATATTTATATGCTTAATAAACATAACCCTAATATGAATTATATTGAGAGAAGGAGAAAGAAAATACAATTAATTTTATAGCTAAGTCGGCTATAACAATTACGTGAACACCTAAAAGCACATACAACCCTAATATACTATACTACATTTAACCAAAACTGATCCTAATTAATCAACGAATAAAAACAAATAATTAAATTGCCACCTAAGCATACAATTTCCACGTAAGCATGCATTAACAATTAAAAAAAATCATTTAATTAAAGAAAAAAATTAAATAAACAATTAA